TGTGTTTTTAAACAGTTTGCTCTTTCAGGGGTGGCGTCTGTGGAAGACAATGTCTGAGTGTAATTTTGTGGAAGACCTTGCTGATTTAATTAAAAAAGTTGTTGTAAGTGCTGTGTTTTAACTTGGTGTAAGTTCTCAAGTGGAACAGGTTAATTAAATCTGTACCTTAAGCAGCTTGGGATTGTATCTGAAATGAGACATTTCCTTTTGCTGGAGTGAATAAATTGGGTGATGGCTGAGTTGCAGCTTTCTAGAAAGAAAAAAAGCATCCTGGGCTTTATCACAGTTGGGATAACTTAGTAAATAATTGCAGTCAATAATGTAATTGATGGATGAATGACTTAAATACTTCATTTTTTCCCCCTCACTTATTTTTCTCTTGCTCAACAAATAGTATTTTGAATTTGCTGTTATTGCTGACTTAAAACACAAATGTAACAGTGCAGAGAAGGATATAAGAAATACTCTCAGCAGCTGAAGGGGAGAGATTTGTTGTGGTTTTTAAATTCAGTTCTTTTTTTCATTTCTTGAAAGTCTGTGCTCAACCCCAAGCTCCACTTTTCCAGTCCGTGTTACTGCACCTCTGCTTCCCTCTTCTTCCTTCCTCAGCCTTTATCTCCTTCTCCATGTAAACCATTGTATATCCAACAGCAAAATTCATTTATTTTTCCACAAGAAATTTGCTCCTGATTACAAGAATATTGCCTGAATTTTGGCAGTGGAGCACAGCAGCTCTCCCAGTGATGCTGCACTGAGGCAGAACAGAAAATGTTACTCAGATAAACCTGAGCAGACAGAAAAACTGAAATGCTCTGCTCTTTAATAACTTGATTTTTGTTTGCTTTCTCTCTCCCTGTTCCAGAACATTCCGCACTTTATCAGTGGCATTTTGAGGATTGGCAATGGGATAGAAAATGTAAGTTTTTCCAGTTGTTTTTAAGTGATACCTGTTCAATCTGTGCATGGCAGAGGAAGAGTGTGGTTTGCACTCAATCCAATCCATAGCAGAACTACACTTTCACATTTTTCACCTTGTAAACTTTGTGAATGTCCTTAATTTCCCTGTTTTCACCAGTTTTTTTCCTACTTGCTGGTGTCTGTTGCCTGCTGTGCGTGAGCTGCGAAAGCTGAAATAAAAACATAATACAAAAATAAAAACTAAAAGCATGAATGTAATGATAAAACAAATATAAAAAAATAAAAAATATAAATATAAAAAGTATATAAATAAAAGACAAAAGACAAATCTCACAACAGGAGAAACAGAATAAATACAACTCTGTGTTACCCAGTTGCTGTAATTTGGGTGACATTTGTCTTTAAGTCGTGTGGGTTTCGATCTTATTTCTCAGTAGTCGTCAGAAAGAAGTTTCTAAATCAAATCCTAGGGCTTTTATGTTATTTTTCAAGAATTTCAGTCATCAAGAAGAAGTTTCTCAATCAAAAGCTGACATTTGAAGGCCTCCCCTGTCTCCTGTGGAAAGAACAACTGGTTGAGTTTTGTGACTCCGCTGTGCTTGAGGTATCCAGGTTATTTGTGAGCTGTTTTCTGCTTCTTTATTTTCCTTCTTTTTTTTTCTTTTTCCCCACATTAAAATAGGGTTTCTTTGACATCGAGGAGGCAGTGGATTGGATCAGGTGTGTGGGTGATGCCAACGTTCTGCAGGGCCTGGAGGAACTCAGGGATTTTCGCCGGCTTAAACTTGCAACTGTTTTTACTCAGTGTAAGTCTGAAAACTCCCCAAGAAACAGTCATGGGGAAAGTCATTTAATGTTAGTAACTGTGCAGTAGTTCATGTCCTTATATATTTAATTTTGGGCTTGTTCAATAATCAATTTATTACAGGGATTCTCAGTGGTAGATGATAAACCCTTCATGGCTTTGGTAGCTTTTTCACCCCCTGTATTTCTCTGAATTTTGTCACCAGGGGAACGTTCCATTGTTAAAGTTGCATTGGAAGATTGTGATTTAGTTGAAGAATTGAAAGCTCAGACCTGTGAGAGCTCCAGGAAGGTGAGAGAAGCTTTCAGAATGGGTTTTGTCCTTTTTTTTAATCGGTTTTGGGGGGGCTTCTAATGATCAAGGCTTATAAAAATGCCCAAATGATTAAAGAGAAAAGCTTCAAAAGTTTGAGTGTGCCATTGTCCTGATGTAAATAATTACCTTTACTTCTCGTTGTTGAATTTAGTCCCAGTTTCTGAATTGGTTTCTTTGTGGTTTCACAGGAGAGTGAATTTATGAAACAGAGAGGAAATGAAGTATTTTCCCGTGGAGCCTTTGTTCCTGCTATAATCTCATATACTAGAGCCATAGAGCTTTGGTAAGAACTAAACTGGTTAACTAGGCTGTGTTTTATATGTATGTAATATAATTTTTTATATGTATTCAGCTTTTTCAGATTTATGCTCATTTTTCATAGTTTTGCATGAGCCACTCTACTTAGAGGCCAAAAGATTCCTAATTGGAAAAAAAAAAAAAAAGCTATATGACACGTTTCTTGTTCTATTTTGTTTCCCATTATTATTGTTTGGTTTTGCTTTTATTGCTCCAGGAGTCCTGTTAGGGTCTAAACCTGATCTAAAGTGACTTAACAGCAAGTAAACCTGCAAGGAAATAAATTATTTGGTGTGACCAACCACTTTGGGTGTTGTCCCTCTAAATAGTCTTCCAGCAGAACAATGTGACCAAGTGTTGCAAATATTTATCACCTCAGCAGTGATGCAGAAAGAGTAAACAAGAACAAATATTTAAGTGTCCTTTCCTGGCAACTCTTAGGCTTGTTTTTTTTTAGCTCTTGTTTAATTTCTTCTCAAAAGGAATTTGCTGGAAGGCTTTGGAGACTTTCCTGGGCTCTGGAAAAAGGGAGGAAAAGATCAAATGAGAATTTTTTTTTTATCTGAGCATTTATAGAGCATTTTTCCCCTTCCAGTGGTCAGCAGGGTTGGTGTATTCACTGCTTGTATTACAGTCATGCCAATGCTGCTCTGACACCTTCTGGTGTCTATGAAATACTGGGAAATATAAAATCCCACCAGGTTGTTCAAACTGTTTGGAGTTTTCAGGTTCAAGTCTGGAGCTTTATAATTGTGCAGTTGAAAGGATCAGCATTTTGCTGGTGTCTTGCTTCAGGTTTTGTGTCTTTTGAGGAGATTTCTGTGCCTGAGGTTTCCCCCAGCAGAGTCTCAGACATCTGATTTCTGGGAATAATAATTTATCAGTGGTGATAAATAATAATAGTTTATTGAGTGGTACAGCAACAGCTCGAGCTTGGGGCCTCCAGGAGGGGCTCAGACCAAAGAAATCCTTTGCAGTTTGGGGTATTTTTTGGTCTGGAGTCTTCTAACCCCTTCTTGGGTTCTTTCTCTGTGTTAACTTCTGGCTCAGACCGGCCTTGGGGCCCTTTTGTGTAAGTCAGGGACAAGCCTGACTTATCTTTACCCCCCGTTTTACCCATACCAAGGTCTCACTCCCTCTCTGTTGCCTTCAGGGTCCCTTTTCCTTGAGCCCTCTTATCCCATGGGAAAAGTGGATCCAGCCTTCCTGTGTCCTCCCCTGCTCAGCCTTTATGGCTGACCAAGAATTAATTTGATTAATTTAAAGTTCACCTACACTCAGGTTTGAGCAGGGCCCACCTAAACCCACTTGTGTGCAGTTAAACCCAACCCAACATGTGTCACACAATTTCTGATGTTCTCTGAGCAAATGTCACATGGCAGGAATACATTTTGGTCCCAAATTCCAGCTGATTTCAGCCTTTTTCCAGAGCTGAGTAAGGCTGACTTGGGTCAAGTGACTCAGGGGGAGCAAACCAAGAAGGCTTTGCTGGAGAAGGGGGAGGGAGGAGCAGAATTGAGTGTGAGAGCAAAGGAAATCCTGTGGTTTGTGAAGAGCAAAGGAAGTCACATCATTTCCAGAAGCTGTGGAGCTGGGCTGGTTGTTTTTAAGGGTGAGCTGAGAACAATTTGAATTACTTGGAAGTTGCATCAGTGGGCCCAAATGTTACCAATTATTGCATAATTAAAATGAACATCCTCAGTGATTTAACTTGTAAACCCGTGGGATTTGAGGAAGCTGGGGTGTGTTGGTGCTAGACAAGCCTGCAGGCAATTGTTGTGAAAATCCACTCTTTTTTTTTTTTCCTCCTTAGGATTTTCCAAAGTATTATATGGTACTAACTCTCCATAATATATATTTTTTTTAAGCCGTACAAACCACCTTCTGTATGGAAACAGAGCTCTTTGCTTCATCCTCACAGGAGACTACGAGTAAGTAACCCCTTGGTCATCTGAAATGTGGTGATCTGCACTTCAAAATAGGCACCCTGAATAAGAAAAAGAGTATTTTTAAAGCTGACATATAGAGTTATTCGTGACCCTATGATTAAAGTTATATGTGATTATAGTTATATGTGACTGTAGTTATTTGTGACTAGAGCTGCCCCATCCCTGGAAGTGTCCAAGGCCAGGTTGGAGCAGCCTGGGATAGTGGAATTTGACCCTCATTCTCAGCTCAGCTTTTATACTTTTACACAAACAAGTCTATGTGCAGTCTCCACAGCAAAACAGTTACCTTTAGTTACAAACAAGCTCATACTTCATACTGATAACAATTGATAATCATCTGCTCTAATCATAAATCTGCTTAAGCTGTCTTACCCCTAGAAACTGAGTAACAGACCCTTACCACATCCCAGGTAACAAATCATTATATACATGCTTGACTAAATCCTTTGATTATTGTTGCTACTTCTTCAGCACATTCCACATTACTACTTTGGAGTGTTGCTTTCTAGGCCTACTCTCTTACTAAGCCTTAGCCATTCTACTACTAAATTTGAATTATTCTGCAACACTTGGACACCAGCCTGTAGGTTTTTCTGAATTGCAAATAATAAATTCCTCTTCTTTTTTCCCCTCCCTTCCCCAAGGAGAGCTGTTGTTGATGGGAAAAGAGCCACTGTTTTGAAGCCTGATTGGCCGAAGGTCAGTTCCACATTTCAAAAAATGAAATCTCGTTTCAAAATTGTCTTTTGTTGGTGTTGTAAAGCAAGATGAGAACCCAGGGGTGTCTTCTAATGACAGAAGAATGCAAAGGACTGAGAGTTCTGCCTCAGTCAGCCAAGTACACAGTTTGTATATTTATATTACAAGCACGTCAAATTAACATTTTTAAGTGTTGTTACAAGGTGTTCTGCCTCTTTAAAGGCAGAAGAAAACATTTATTTTGTCGTGCACAGCTGTGTTATCACCTATTTAAAAGGAATATATGCAGCCCTTGCAATAAAAAACCCCCTGATTAATGTATTTCCCAATATTCTTGGCCTGAAGAAGAATAAATAAGGGATGAAAAGTAGCTGTTGAGATCAGGGGAAAGTGCAAATTTGCTCTTTCCCAAAGCCAGAGGTTACAAGCTGCTCCCAGCTGAAAAGTGAATATTCATCGTTTGAGAGCAGTTAGACACAATTTCCCTTTGTTTTGTCTACTGCAGCCGGTTTGGACGTAATTTTTTTTTTCTTTTTTGCCTTACCTGTGTGAATAAAAAGCTTAAAATCCCAACTCCTGTCCATGTAGGGTCACCACCACTACTGCAAGGCCCTGGCCCTGCTGGGGAGGCACGAGCAGGCTCTGGAAGCAAACGAGAGAGCTCAGGAGCTCTGCAGGGACGTCCCCGACGGGCTCAAGGAACTTGTTCAACAGCATCACAAGCTGAAAAGGACCTTAGAAGAAATTAATGGTAATTTCAAGATGTGCCTTGAACACAGCAAAATTCCTTTGGGGGTGATTTTTCCTTTTAAACCATTTATTTATTTGTTTGTTTGTTTGTTTATTTTTAATCCCCCCTTCTGAAATTATTTATTTATTTATTT